TTCTCAGTTGCCAATCGAAGGAGACGCTTGGTGCGCCTCCCGGTAAAGTTCATGGAGAAATGACAGCGTACTAAGGCATGATCAGGGTCGAAACAGGTATTCCAGTACGAGCGGCAATACAGCGTGGAAGCGCCCAAACTGCAACTTATGGCAACGTAGTCAACTTGGGTCCATCACTAGCCAGCTATAGGTGGACGCCAAGTGGCACTTCGGCGCCCGCTGGGTCTAAAAGCAGTGCTAGTAAGAAACAACTGGTGCTCCGCACACAGTTGCAGCAGACGCTTGAGCAGGATTCGAGCAATCAACTTGCCCACACAACTCAGCAACTTGATGCCACGATAATTCGTGCAACATTGCTTGCTCCCTTTGACCTTGTACAGTGGTAGGACAAGCGCATGCTTTAGCTCAGGATGCACCTCCTCCTCAATCCATACGCGTTGCACTAAAAGGTGCAGCGCAGTCACCAACGTGGGTCCACCGTGTTTCAATACTGCAGACCGGATCCCGTGGGCCCCAGCACACTTGCCGTTTCGCAGCCGAGCAAGTGCTCTCTGCGTCTCATCCAGTGTCGGCGTGTCCGCCAGACTCGCGTTCACATCATGCTGCTTCAGGCCGTTCAAAGTAAGCCAGTCGATCTCTGAACGGTTGGTCAATAGACAGTCAAAGTGTTTGTGTCAGATCCGCATTACGACTACAGTCTGTATGCAGGTGGCGCCTGAACTACCATCGATCAGCGTCTTCAGCGGCTCCAATCTCGGTCCATACACCGCCTTCAAGGAGTCAGAGAATTCCTCGTGTTGGAAGCGTTCGGCGTAGCATTCCATCTGCTTCGCTTTCTCCGTCCACCATGCAATTTTAATGCGACGGAGATCTCGGGTCAGTCGCCGTCGTAGTTTGCGAAAGTGACTACTCTTCCCCAAGTCACTGCGGCTTGCCACATATGTGGCAAATGCTGCATTCTTCCTCGACACCAATGCGCCGATCGTCGCATTGTTTTCATCAAACTAATCAGGCCGCTTACAGTTTGCGCGCTCAATTGCCTCCTCGGCAGCAGCTGTCACCTGATCGCGCATATGGTGCCACAGGTCGCCCACTGTGCTTATGCATTCCACATCACACAGAGGTGTAACAATCGCCTTCTCCAGCTCAATACGCTTCTCCACAGTACCGAGGAAGAATGTTAAATTTACGCCGATTCACGACGCGAGTGCAATACATAGATTTACGAAGATATATGTACAGTTTGGTCCGCACCAATTTATGCTCAGTGCCACACTCAGCTCCACGCAGTACACGTGTCTTGCGCACTTCATGCATATCACGCTGACGTACGATGACACACTCGAGCAGGTGAGCGTGGCCCCTCCGTGGGTGCGTCCAAGTTGCTAAGTCACTCGCATTCAGTGCAAACCGAGTGTTCGTGATCGTCAGGCTGTGAGTGGCACACAGTGAGAGCAGCCTGTCACCGAACGCATTCGCTGGACCAATGCCATGCGAACCAATAACATCTGTCTATACCAGTGCATCACGCCCAACGGGCACGTTGAAATCACCCAGCAGAAATACTCAATCGCTCCTCGGCACAGACCGTATCACGGAGGATAACTGAGTGTAGAATTGATCATGCGTGTCATCAGGATTACACATGGTCGGATCGCACGCGCTTATAAAGGTGGCAAACTTACGTCTTCCGAGTCGTACGCGGACAGTATCGGCCGGACGCTGATGCCTGTTGGTTCACGCACCAGCTTGCCATTTAAGCGATCGGATATTGCACATCTGACCATATGTCAGAGATGACTGTAATGTATACGCACAATTCTTCACAGCGATTGGTGCCAGGGAATCAGTACCATTATCGTTGTTTGGCTTCAGCCTTGTGAGTTCACTGTAAACACTGCTGTGGTCAAATAAGATTGGAGAAGCAGTTTTGGCGAAGGTAGGAAGGGGGAATTCGTTCGATGATGAGTTGGACTTTGCGTGCAGCCTATCCACATCTATATTACCGAGTGGGGTACAGGAAATGTGTCAGGGAACTTGCTTCAAGTGTTGCTACAGATCATAACACCGGTCTCCTAACACGGCTTTAACGTACAGGCTGTTTATCCTTGTTGCCTCGGCCTTCATAGGAGCAAACAGACATTTGACACGTGCAGTGAGATAATAAATAAAAAGCTGCTTAGAGTCGTAGGTGGCTTACAGGTAAAGGAAAACCACCATAGTCAGTCATTTGAAGACGTCTCTGCTTCAACATTTGACAAAGAGTAAATATGTGGTCTATGTAAGCACGGAGAAGGCGGAAGCCAGCTTAGCTCAAATGATTCAATTTTGAAGAGGACCAGTAAGTCAGTGAAGAATGATACCCGTGAGAAATTTGGAGATAATGGAAAATAAGCTAATGTCTCGATGATTTTTGCACAAAGTACGCTGACCCTTCTTGAAAATGGGCACGACAGTTGCCCATCTGAAGGAACCTCTTCAGTGTCCCAACCCATGTTGAATAGAGCAGCAAGTCCCATCAACAGAGAGTTAACGTTATGTTTCAGCAAAGATGGAGAAAAATCTTCGGGTCCAGGAGCGTTGTTACGTTTCAACTAGGTAGACACATGTCGAATACTATTCACGTGAGGCCAATAGAAGTGGCCTTCAGCTTACGGGAGTTTGCCCACAACTAATGTTCCAGATCAATTCGAAGACTCCTTGTCAGCCGCCGTTGCATGCCGTTACGTAAATGTTGAAACTCACTGTCTAAATGAACCTATCTGCGTGCTTCGATCAAAATGGTCGATGCCTCACAGTTCACAAGCCTTAGGTTGTGTGTACAACCTTGAACACGTGATCTACCGCCAATCGTGCCCGTAAACCTGTTGTCACCAACCGTATAGCAAACGCTCGAGGCGCTTTTGCCAATCTCCGCCACCTGTGGCGTCGATGCGACATCACTCTCCGCTCTGAAAAACAGAGTTTAGAACGCAGGCGTGCGTTCGACCCTGCTGTATGGTTTCGAAACCTGACGCACCAGATGGACCGATATAAACTGGCTAGTTACGTCCGACCATCGCTGCCTCCGCAGTTTAGTCCATGTCTGGTGGGAAGACAGCATGAGCAATGAATTTGTTTGGCACCGCGTATTTGGTGCAGGAAGAGCGAGTGAACCGCTCAGCACCATTATATCACGCACCAGGCTCTGATGGCCGCGCTACTTGTTGTGCACAGCAGCACACCGACTCCCTCGATGTGTGTTGTTCGCGCGCCCGATATCTGGATGGAAGAATAGGGGAGGCCAAGCGATGACTTGGTCAGAGAAATGAATCCCCACTTTGAAGTTGGCGTCGGTCAAGGTTTCCCAAATGCCAGGCTGGGGTCTCATGGACGATGAATACGTTTGGTTAGGTACAGTTATTGACATGCCGAGGAGCCGACCTCTGTGGCGTTTTGTTGTGAGCTTCTCTATTCCCCCCTCTCGCTTCGCTTCTCTCTCCAATCGCGATCGAACACACGGTACACAATATGATACTTAGAATTAGATTACTCGTTGTTTGGTTTTAAGTTTATATTCGTTTATGTTTGGTATCCTATCTTTTTGTATTGCAGTACAACAGCTGAGGTGTGTTTCACACCCACAGCTAACGTGTATTGAAGATGATGATGATGATGACTATGTTGTTGTTGATGATGAGGATGGAACATTTCCCATGGCTAGGTTCGGAGGGAAGAGAGCGATTCGCGTCTGCCGTAGGCCGAGTTGTCTGTACGCTTGGCTTACAATCATAAGGTCACCGGTTCGAATCCGCGTAGGGGTGGGCGTTCTCACGGTATACTCAGCCCACGCGCGACTGGTGGTAGTCGCGCAGCAGCGAAGCGCCGTTACGGTGTACAGTTGACACATGATTTTTTATTATTTAACCTCCAAGGAGGATTGTGAGGACTGAGTTAATCTGATCCCCTAAGCATTGACCTGTCTGATATGAGAGTGCGAATAGGAGAAATTCGGCAAACAAGGCACGTCGATAGTGAGTGGTTCTCATTTGCGTCGAACGCTATTTCAAACACGCCTCTGTGCCGCACAGCGTAAGATCACGACAACGAACAACTGTAGTGACACACCATTCCTGTGTGTCCTTTAAGACAGCTAGGGTTTCAGTGAATCAAGGTTGAACGAGAAGACTGTTGAAAAACCCGAAACAAAAAAGAGTGCTTTACAAACATGATTTAGATTTTCTGTTCGCCGAACCACAATAGTGTCAGCGGACCTTTTATTTCGACATTGATTTCATTCTTCAGTAGCCGATGTTGATTACACTTGTTTGCTTTTCGAGTTAGGAGTGTTAGAGCTGATTAATGGGTGAGTATGCATTCATGCAGAAACAGCCACATATCGCAAACAGTGTACCGGAAGTAACGACAATAATTCAGTGCCATGACGTGGTCAGACGACAGCACTCGGAAACACGGGAGTCGAGCAACAGCAAAAGACAGGCGTACAAAGTGAGGACCAACGTGGGTGTGTGAGCAGAGTACAGTGATTCGAATGGATGAATTTGAGATGAACAAAGTAGATAAATGATGACACCCCATGCGTGCGACAGTAATGGCGGACGCCTCGGAGAAAAGGGTCGTGGCAAATGACATTCGTAATGAAGAATCGGGTAGAATATCTTGCTGTAAAAAGCGCTCGGTATAGTTAGGGTGAGGTAGGCAGTAGATACCTTATAAATGAATTGGATCGAGGTGGAAAACTCAGTGAAGATAGTTTGATAGCAGAAAACAGATTGAAACTCCGGTATATACGCATCAGATGACCAGAGCGACGTAAAAAAGCACACACGATAGTAAAAATAGGACAGAGATAATAACAGTGTACGCGATATATCGACGATGTCGAGAAGCATACGGTCCACGAAGATGATGATGAAGGGCTGGAGACCAAATACTGATTCAATGGAGATAAATGAGGTTTGAATGGTGACAACCCTACAGTGTCAACAAAAGCAGCCAACCTTTGTGAGTGATGAGGAAATCTTTGACGACACAGTGGATTGAACGAGGCCAGAGAACGGGCCCGAACAGGGCTCACGGATAGAGGGAGAATCAACCACAGACGCACAAGTGGAAAAGCCGATTGTGTGCGTATCGCGCTGATAAGAAAGGGCCAGCTGTCGAGCCACATCACGTATGCGACCAAGGTCGCGTCTGCGTCTGACATTGGCTTGTTCTCGCTCCGAAGCCAAAAGAGAGCGTAAATCAGCCTCCGATTGACAAACTCGAGTAAGCTGCATAAGCGAGTGAGTGCAAAAATAAAATAGATTTTATGCACCACAGAATCCAGCCAAGAAGTGCTCATAGACAAAACTAATGGCAAGAAGTACGTACGGCCGGATTAAAAAAATAGCTGAACAAAGGGGAAGAAAAGGCAAACCCCAGATGACGTAACTGACGTAAGCCAAAAAATCAGCAAAACGCCTGATAATCTGTTAAGCAAATAATGTGCTTTCGGCTCGCCGCTGGCCTCCAAAGTGAAGCATCTTAAGTGCAGTAGATATTTAAGAAAAGCTACAAGATTGCAGGTAAATGGAATCAAGGCTAGATGTGATGATGATGATAATAGATAGCACAAAAAATAGGATAGACAAGAAACAATGGGACAAATTGTGAAACTTGCGTGTTTGTTGACGAGACAATGCGTTGGCTAACCTGGTCTCTAAAGTTGTCTGTTGAAAAGCAGAGTGCCAATGTGTTAATATTCATCCGGCCATTTATTCTAACACCTCAGAGCGAACTACGCCCCCCTACAAAATCAGTGAGACAGACCTACCCAGCATCACGCCTTCTACTCAACTTCACTACACAGAACAAGCTGACGAATGTTTTAGACAACTGAGAAGCCAGTAACACCGAGCTGGGCGGGGAACGGAATTGAGATTTGAGGTTTGCTAGCAGCATAACCGTAACTGGTGACTCATCGTATGTTGCCCAAAATATGCAGATTCATTTGTATGTGCCTACCTCCCTATTCGGTGTGACCTTCGTCCTCTCGCAAGACTAGCCAAAAGCTGCTCCTACACTCACAACCTGTGATGGTGGTTTGGAAGCGACTAACGAATTCGTTTACCTTGAATACTGTCTCGGCGCTAGAGGTGTAACAAACGAGATCTCGTCGTGCGTCGCCCGTCGCCTTTGCTAATCTCAACCATCTCAGGGGACGAAGTCACCTCAACCTCTCTCTGAAGGGCTGAGTTAACAATTCCACAATGCGAGCGATTTTGTTCTATAAGTGTGGGATTTAGCCTGCAAGCAAACATGTTCAGAAGCCTTCTGTTCTGGTCACCGCTGTCTTCGGAGCGTTGATGATGCACGATCACAACATGATTCCATTGCAATCCAGCATAGAATTCACTTCGCCGTACTGACTACACGCATGGAAGTCGGATGAAAGCGAAAACAAGGCGGCTAACAAAGGTCTTGAGCTCAAAAGTTACCACATGTGACATCCTGCCCAGCGAGTGCTATATGTGGAGGGGACGGCGTGCACGGTTCTTGTGGCCGTGCTAGGCTCGAAGATTGGTACCATGCACTCAGTGTGGAGCGGACTACGGTCCAGCCACCGCCTTGTGTGCGTTTGATTCCCCAAATACAGCGTGCTTGTGTTTGCCTGTGAAGGAGTGTGGGCCGGCTCCGTTGATGAAACGTGGTTCCCATCCGCATGCCTCCCGGTCTTATTCCTTCGGGGTTTACACTGGATATGGGGTATGTGGTTGGAGCTGTGGGTGGTGCAGCGCAAGCCATCCATGGTCCATCTGTAGGCGCAGGCGTCCTGTGGCTTGCCACAGTGACAGGCAAATCCGAAACCGGATGCCGCCAACCATATATATGTATATATATATATATATATATATATATATATATATATATATATATATTATATATATATATATATATATATATATACCTGGAGAGTCTATGGTTTGCTGAGGCTGGTGGTGCCATTGGCTCATGTCCAGGACACCTCCTCTTATTGTGGTACATTTTCCGATCATTCGTGGTATTTGCACTAGAAAACGTATCTGAACATATCGTCACATACATGTCTCGCTGAAAACGAGAATATGCAATATATTTATTTCTGATCTGCTAAACGATGGTCACTAGGAAGGTGATCCAGAATGGAACTCGACGATACCGATACAAACCTTGGCGTGTAGTTATGGTGAGCAATTCCCACAAGGCTTCAGTAACTTTTAGCTGATGATACGCATCTGACAGGACAGGCTTTAAAAATATCTATCCTCATTTACCGTAGCGAATAAACCAACGGGAAACGGTATAGGATACAGGTAGGAGTTAGATACTCCGCATGGGCCTTAGAGTTGACACAAATTCAAAGTTAACCATTCAGCTTTCTGGTTACCACTATTGGAGTGACACAGAAGTAGTTCACTGAAAGAACAACTCCAGCTTCCTCTAAGCAACATAACTATTGGTCGATAATTTAACTTAAGCGTATGAAATACCGTAAGAGGGACAGTGAAGGTAGTCATTTCGACGCATCGTCTCAAAGTTATTCGCATAATGCCTGAATCGAGCGTCGAATGCCAGCTCTGAGTCGGGATCAAAAACGAACTCATTAACATCGTTGAGTACTGCGTCAACTGGAACATTTTCAGTATCCTGTAAACAATGTTCAATTAAGAGTCACGATCATTCGCAGTTGATTATTTTTCGACTACTGGCCAGTGAGTAATTCCGAGGTCGATGTTAAAATGTCAGGCATTCCAACAGTTAACTAGCAAGAAGTGGAATCGCCTTGGAAAGTTGTGAGAGTAGAATAAAAAAGGCCGAAATTTAATTTTATGGTTTAACAAAAGTGAACACATTTTCTGAAGGTTTACAAATGTGTTGTTGAATAAAGCTTTCAAAAAAATATTGCTACTAATTTCTCCTTGACTTTCAGTTGCCGAGTTGTTTACTGAGCTGAGCAACCTGACTGCAGACGTTTCGTCATCAATCAAGGAGACATCGTTAGTACAGGAGGGTTAGCGGTTTCGTTGCAGATATGTGTGGAAAGTAAATCTGGGTATGGACCCATCTCAGTCTAGTGACGGAGCGCTGACAACCAAACTGCCCAACTCGGTAAGCAACTCAACAACCAAACTATAAATCCGAGCTACCAGTATTTCGAGTTCTTCATGATGTGAGTGAAAAGGACAGCGCGGTAATACATTGGAGATATTACAAGGAAGCAATACATGATATATCAAAGGAGCCACCAAAAAGGCAGAAGTTTTTCGCAGATTACTCTCCGGCGAAGTGGCGAATCTGAAACTGGAACTCTTAAACGCGCCAAAACACTACTAAGCCACAGCTCAGCAAAAAAGCATAGGAAGAGAAAAAGGTGGGAATCACAAGCAATTCAATTCGAAGAGACGGCACAATTAGACAGGTTTAGGACAGGGAACGCTATACGTACCTCACACCGCAAGTAACTGAGTTGCTGTTCTAACTGTTCCTTGTGTAACTGGTAGTCAAAACCAGTTACGTCAGTCTGAGAAATAGCTTCAATCATTTGTTGTTCACGGCTGTTCAGAAGCAGTTCGGTTTCATTCAGTCGACTGAGTGACAATATGTTCTCAGCCTGTAGATTAGCATTCTGTTCGGTTAAACGACGAGTGAACTCGGATAACTCATGCTCGTGTTGCTTGGAGGCATCCAGTTCAGCACGTAATGCGGATAACTCTGCTTGCAAACACTTCAATCTACGGTAACACAAATGGAATATGAAGGATAAAATGAAAGGACCGCTAACCAATGTTCAGGTGGAATCTGTTCATCATCTAAACAAATGGCCAGTATGGAAAAACTAATGAATACCGACTAGTCCTGTGTGACAAACCAGCTTGGACCCGTCCCCTGACTCCAGCGAAAAATGGTAGACGGTTGTGCGTGCGGTGTCATCTAGGAACAATAGCCAAGTTTTTTGGGACGACTCCACACGGACAGAACAACAGGTACACTATGGTATACAGCCATTGCGTTGGAGGATACAGAGTAGTCTCATCCAAGACAACGAACGTCTGTTAGTCGTCATGCTGAGCACAACTGAGAGGAACACTATTTGAACAACAGGTATGCGCGAGATTTTCCAAAAGGTATTTGCGTTTGCCGGAAGGTCGCAAGCGCATCTGTAGTGCTCAAGCGCAAAGCCCCTTCGCTAGTAGCATATGAACGCGAAATCCGTTGGATCATGTCTATGACATGATCATTGTTATTCAGGCGGCAGTCTCGCGAACCATTCCTCCACTCACACGGGGTACACAAGCATGGTGAAAGAAAACCTCAATCGTAATGATGCAATGAGAGGGATGCGAGAAAAAATTAGGCAAAATAAAGGACAAACGCATAACTGACAGCTGATCGCCAATCCCCAATGATAGCAACCGTACTTTAACGCTATAACTTCGAATACGGTGCAGATGGCAGTTGTGGCGGCTCGAGATGAATGTAACAGGACAGTAAAAACCACCCGATAACTTCCAATATACGGCAGTATTTAGATGAGCTCGGTAGATTCGACTGTTGTGATCAATGTAGAGTTAAGTGGCCAGTTGCGAATATTTTTTGTCCCTGAGTGAAAACAGCAATGCGCAGTAGCTTTATATCAAAAGGCAATACCCGACTATTCTGTTGTCTGCAGCGACCCTCTGGGGTGTTAGTTTTGTCAGAATTCCGGATAGCATGTGTGTACAATAAGCAGGATGATTCTACCATTTGTCGGCTATGTCTGCACCATTCGAGCAAACGCCCTATTCGACCTCGTTTACTGAGATCCAAATCATTTCCACTTCGTGACATAGTTCAGATGGTACTCCGAGATTAATTGATTAACTTGCAACGCGTGCATCTAGGAAAGTATATAGTGATGTGACAAAACAATACATAGGATTATGGTTAAGGGGAAGCTAAATAACTGGAAGAGAGTAAGGATGTGCGCAACCAATGAAAACTCACAGCAGTTCGAAAACGACTTCACTCGCATACGTACACTGTCGCGCGAAAGCTGAGACAGTAAAGCAGCTCTCCTGTAGAAACACAATTCACTCAATCGTCATAGAAACCATGCTTTCCTTCCTCTTTGCTCTCCCAACACAGAACCTGTCAGTACAAGTGACGTGCGATGTACAACACAAGAATGCAGTGCGACACAACCCTGATATGGTTAGACCATATAAATTCGCGTAACAAAATGACGTGTGCGTAGACAACGCAATCACTGAAGCGATTCACAGATCAGATCGATTGTGGCCCGGCTACTGATGTGGGATAAGTGGTTGTCATGAGCCACGCCATTGTACTAATAACAACGATGGTTGAAAATATAGAATAAGATGCATAAGTAGGTAACGAGGGTGTAAGAAAAACGTAGGAAGTACAATCAAGGGCTGTAAAAGTTAGCAGATAAAGGTAATGTACCGAACTAGAGCTCGCCGTTGACTTCGCAACTGCGTCAGGACGCCCAGCGTGTTAGCCACTGATCTGGCCTATCCCATGGGCGCAAGCATACCTAACTGAGTTGGCTGGCCGATTTCTTTGCACCACCAGATAACGACTGCAAAGTTTAAATAGAACTTTGATTTCCGCCCCAAAATGGGTGTCTATTTATGGTATAGTGGAAGGATATGCCGAACTTGCCCCATTGCAGGGGGAACAGATCAAAGGAGAAATCTGGTATCCGCCACACCACTAGGTACCGCATCTGAGAGCAATTTTCCATTCTTATGCTTCTTCCCGCGAGACTTCCCAAATCAATAGATTTTGCAGCGTACCGATATGTTTGATAATTTAGTAAGGTTTAGGTCGCGCTCAAGCACGACTGCATCCGACATCGAAACGAGTTTCCATCAAGTCAAGTCAAGGAATTGCCATGGTAGAAGAACGGCACTCTGTCCACCATTTATTGGACATCCCATAACAATGCACCAGGTTGGGGACACTTCGTCACCTAGCTGTGCAAACTTTGTTAGCTTAGCTAACATTCCACTTCGTCCCATTTTGTCGATGGTCAAGTCGCCCTACCATGCGGTCGCTCAGTGGCTTGTAGAAATTCTGGAATCGGTGTGACAATAGCTTGCAACTTACAGCCTACGTGACAGCTTTCAGTTCGTAGAAAGCATTAAGAATGCTAAAATTGAGAGGGAAAGTGATGCTCTCTTTTGATGTCTCGCTTTTTACCAACGTGCCGCTTATTGAGACAATAGATTACATTTGCGACTATATAACCCATTCAGAAATAAAAATGTGTATACCTACTCGTGAGCTAAATAGCTTACTGTTGGTCTACACCTGAAATATTCAGTTCCTATGTAACGGGAAATACTATCGGTAAAAGGACGGCGCAGCCATCGGATCAACTCTGGGTCCACTGCTTCGGAAATCCTCATGGCAAAGTTAAAGAGAACATAATTGCAGGCAGATATAGTCACCTTTAACCGCTACTATCGGTACATGGACGATATATTCGTTGTGATGGATGAGCACGTTAACCTAGATGAAATTCTTAACCGTTTTAACCGAGCCCATGCAGCACTGTATTTTAGTTATGAAAAAGAAACCGAAGCTCAGCTGCCGTATCTTGATGTTCTGTTAACTAAGAGACCAGACGGCTCAATCCAGCGGCAGATCTACAGAAAGCCAACGTGGATTGGCCAGTATACGAATTTTCACAGCTTCGTCCCTATGAGATATAAGCGCAACTTGATTTACTGCCTTACAACGAGACCACCTCGAATCTTCTCGGAAGACACCCTAAATGCGGAAATGACGTTCATACAGAATGTGTTGCGCGAGAATGGATACCCCGACAGATTTATTTTAAGAAACCTTGGGGAAAAGCCTAAACAGGCGCCAGTGTTAACAGCCGCAAAGAAAGAGGTATTCATACAACTACCTTTCAAAGGGGACGCAGTTACTGAGCGTTTAACCCGAAGTCTTTCGAGCGCAGTTAAGTCGACCTTCGCAGCAGCTATGTTAAAGTGCGTGTTTTCGACGGAACCACTCGTCCGTTCAAGATACAAGGAGAGGTTTCCCACGCTGATCGCCTCAATGCTTATTTAGCAGTTCGAGTGCGCCTGTGGCGCGACGTTTATCGGTCGAACGGCGCGGCACTTGTCCAAACGCGTGAATGGACATTGCCTATGTTGGTTGCACCAAGGTGGCATCGGGACCATTAGTAGTTCCATTTTGGCTCATATTGTCGACAGTGGGCTTCAGGTGGATCTAAAATATGCCTTTGGAGTTGTATAAAAAGTTCCACCGCACCGATCGAAAGGACAACGCCTTCATACACTTGCGACGGCCGAAGCCATTTGCATTCGATTATTTCAACCGGCCTTATACTCGCAAAAGAAGCTAGTCCAGGCATTACAGCTTCCCTAGCCCGAGAAAACTGGGGATACTGAGGTAAAGGAGAAACTCCGTAACAAACCCCGCAACATGTATTTCAGGTGTTGAATACAAATCGGTTTTTGTAGGATTTGATTATGGCAACGTTTTGCTCTTGACGCAAGATGTTCTTCAGGCCGTAACATGTAATTAACTCGTCTTGATTTTCGTCAATTTTAGTTGTACTAACTGGTCAAGATTACTCTTTCCATTTTTAGCCCTATATATGACTGTACTGGTCTGATGATGAATCATTAAAAGCAATGGATCACCAAACGTTCTCCTTGTTCTCATTAACTTTTTAGATTGCCGAACTGCTCCTCTCACCCATGGACAAGGTCGTAGAGAAAAATGCCACCGGTCTACCGCTTTGGTTCAATGTTATTGCAATGGCAACGTTAAAGGCATCCGTTTCCATGACCAAAGAAATTTTAGGACAAAACGTGAATAGCGCTGCTTTCTCGAGCCCCTGCTCCAACTTGTCAAAAGCCTCCTTAACAATTTCGGGAAACGGAAAGTTTGCCTTGTGAACAATACAATAAATCCTATCAGAAAAATTAGGAATCCATTGGGAGTAGATGGCCAACATCCCGAGGACTCGTTGTTGAGAGTTCAGATCGTGCGGTGGAGGAAGTTCACGCAGTGATCTGAATGGATCGGGGTCCGGTCTGAGTTTGCCTTCGGATACTAAGAAATCTTAAGACAATAATTTTCTGCACTCTGACGATACGTCTATCTTGGTTAAAAGTCAGTCGGTAGTTTTGTGCCACAGATAGAAACCGCTCGAGATTGCACTGAAGATTTTGTGGTTCACCCCGCAAATGATGATGTTATGAGCATGCACAAAAGTACCAAAGAACTGTTCGCGTTCAATAATATTAATTACGGCACGTTGGAAACACGCCACGCCGTTCCCAACTCCAAAGGGAATGCGACGAAACTGATTAAAATTTCCGAAAGTTGCAAAGGCGTTGTAAACTTTTGTTTCGTTTATGCCGGCCCGTAGGCATAAGGATCACAAGCCTGCCTTGTAATCTGAAGACGCGAGTTTGAGCCTGTGTAGGGACAGGACGACCTTCGCATTATCCATAGCCTACATGCGACCACTGGTAGTTGCGCGGCAGCGAAGCGTCGATCCTGCGTACCGGCGAACTGTTGCTTTTTTATAGGTAGTTCATGATATGCACTTCGTAGATCCAAAGTGCTATAAACATCATAGTGAGACACCTTAACTAGCTCATCGATCCGAGATAACGGAGACGCATCGAGATAGGTGAACCGGTTGATCATCTGGCTGTAATCGATAACCACCCACCTT